GCTCTGGCATTGGCTGGGCCACTAGCTTACTTCCAAGCGACCGTGGCGAAGATGCGAGGACCTAATACTCCTAATCAAGAGGTCGGAAATTCAAATCCGGAACATTTAAATATTTTTTTGATCGAATTTTCGCTGCATAACATTGTAATCTGATAGAAACTGTAGCTGCTTTATTGGTGGCTAGTGTTAGTAAGTATACAAGTGGCCGTTTACCAGATGTGAGAAACTGATACTCCTAATCTCAAAAAAAGTTCATGGTCTTTCTTAATCTTTTCTTTATTTCACTTTGTTTTGCCCGTTTTGAGCTATTTTCCTCGCTTGTGTTTGCGAAGCGCAGCTTCACCTGTTTAAAATTTTTAAACAGTTTTTGGTAATGAAAGCTAAATTCTACTGTCTTTTTTCCTGTTTTCACTGGTTTGAACTTTTGTTAATCTTCATTTTTTAGTGTTGAAATTGGTAGACCTTTTGTATCGCCGAGCTCCGCTTATGCTAAAATTCTTGAAACATCAAATAAAACTACCCTCCTTTAGTTAGCATATAGGTGGAATTTATTTTAGGCAGTAATTAATTTTTCTATCATTATCCATATTATTTTTCCGGATTCGTTTTTTTCGTTCTATTTTCCGCTGGCTCATTTTAAGTTTTTTTTCAGTTAGTCATATTTTTGATACGGTTTTTTTTGGCTTTTTTCCAAAGCATTGGCGTTTATTTTGATTCAAACTGTTTTTACTATAATGGATAGCTCGGTAATTTGTAAGTTTACCAACTTTGATTTTGAATACTTGTTGCGATGAAACGGTTTCGGCTAATGTTATATCGGTTTAGTCAACTTGTGTCTCGTTGTTTTGAGTGCAAAATTCATTATAATGCTTAAATGTGTTTTAAAAAGGATGAGTTGAAAAAAATTAAAGTTTTTCGGCTCAACGGTAATCGATCCAAAATTTGTCGCCTTAGTTGCTGCTCGAAAATGATATCAAATAATTTAATAGTTGTTTTTGGACATCATTCGAGAAAAACGTGTGAAAATTTGATGTGTGCAGATTTTATCTACTTCCACATAATTTTTTTGAAATGAATTTTTGTTTATTTTTTCAAAAGAAAAATCAATTTCCGTCTCTTTTTCTAATTACTGTCATGTATTGCTATGTTTTTGTTGTATTGAAAATGTTGAACAGCTCTACTTCGCCTCTGAACGTTGAAGTTGATGTTATTGTTTATTGAAAAGTGGAAAATGAAGAAAAATTACTAACTCGGAAAATTACTCTCAGAAAACTTTCATGCTTAGGGTTTAATTTTTTTAAAAGAAGGAATTTTTGAGTGTCTGTTGAACTATGTAAGATCTGATGTTCTAGCTCAATTCTTTTTACTATGTAATTAGACAAATTTTGCGAAAAATGTTCAACAGAAAAACGGCTTTAGTCCTGCGGATAATCTTCTATGGTCACTAAAGCTGTTTTAGAAAAAACTGATTAAAATGTTGCGCCAAATTTCATCTAAAAATGCATTTTTATTATGTTTTTCTTAGTCTTTCTGGATGATGTAAATTTGCTTCTAATTTAGTGGACGATCGCCTTTTTTCAGCTCAGCGGGCTTTGCCAATTTTGAGAAAAGCCATTAATGCTCCTGTTATCTTGAAAGTTCGACTGTAGGAAGAGCACAAACAACTTTAAATGGAAGTCTCCTGTGTGCGTCTAATTAAAGTTTATGCAAATAGTTCTTTTTTGATGAAAAACTGAGTAGAACCGTTTTATGTAAAATTGTACGACAAACGACAAAATCAAGGTGCATTAAAGCTTGTTTCGTTTTCAACAAACCAGCTACCAAATTTGTTTTTTTTTGTCAAAAAATTTGCTGACAGTGATCGTTGGTAGATATTTGTTTTTTTTATGCTTATAGCGGTTGAGAATAAATATGATGAGATAAAGTTACGGGGGTGTAGCGATAAGCATGCGATTTGTGCGCGCTTTCAAACGAAAAACAAATTAGCCTAGAATTTCAAAAGCTTACGAAAAATACTTGATTTGTAAGGGGACCCAAAATTTTGTTTTCGCCTATTACCCATCCCATCAGCAAGGGTATTGCAACTGGGTAATACTAGCTTTTTTGCCGTAAACAACTTTGTTCACAGAAAGGGAAAGGTGCTTTTTAATAGGAATGGCAAATTTCACGACTGCTGACATGCTAAATTTTTAAAATTAAATTTAAGTTCCTTCAGGTAGTAATTATTTTTTCGCAGACCCTAAGGTTAACTTCCTTCAGGTAGTAACTATTTTTTCGAAGACATTTGAAAAAAATTTTTTTTTCGAGTTTGTGGTTTTAGTCGTAGTTTTCTCATAACCCGAAATTTTTTAGGTCAAAAGTTTTGTTTTCGGCTCAACAGGGGTCGAATCAAAGTTCGTGGCCTTAGTTGCCGCCCGTAAATGGTATCCCTATGATTTCAAAGTCTATTTATGAGCATCATCCGATACAAAAACGAAATTTTTGTAGTTGTTTTTTCTTACTTTTCTCATCTAATGTTGTCAACAATATGCCTTCGTTAAAAATTCGACTGGGTGCGCGCTGTTCAAAATTGCAAACTTGAATAAACAAATTTTGTAGAAGCAAATCTTCGAACTACATTTTTTGTGGGCTTGCTAATTGATACACATGCTAATTGGCCGGTCCCCTGAAATTCATGATTTCGAAAGACACAAAATAATAGTTTTTTATTCTGTTCATTTTTTAAATCAATTTTCACGGAACACAGATGAAACAATTTATTCATGAGGGAAAGCACCAACAAGCGAGATAATAAGCTGTTTTGGCCTCTGGTTGAGAATCACATGTAACTGTTTGGTTAATTTTCTGTCTGGGTAATGTTGCCTCACCCTCAAGCAGCGAGAACGGACCATGGTGGGACTCAACCTCTGAATTTTTGATTGACAAATGAGCGCCTAGCTACCCCTCTCACCTCTCAAAAAAATGTCAGAAAAGTAATTAAAGCTAAAAAGCAGCACGATTACACACCAAGTCATATCGTTATCCGGACCAAGAGAATTAGAATTGAAATTAGAAATACGTTTTTCAAAAGTTGGTCTGACTTGTTACAAAAAAAATAGATGAAACTTGCTTACAGCTTAAGCAGAGTTCAATCAAAAACTACGAGAAAGCTACCTGTTGAATTGCTTAAAAACTATATCAAAATGAGGTACTTACGAGTCCTATAGAAATTTAAGAGAGTCTCCAAACATTTGTGCAAATATTTGAAACTTGATTTTGAATAATATTTTGGTAATTTATATAGTTAAAATGACATTTTTTGGCTGTAAAAAACAAAGAAATGAATGCAAGATTAAGAGGACTATACCCTTCTGAAACGTTGTTGGGCTACATAAGCGGTTGACTTTGATATAGTTTTGTCAGCAATTTAACTGGTAATTAGGTTTATGTAAAATTTTTGTAAAAAAGCTAAAAAATTATCCGTTTTTGGGCTCAAACTTGTCAAAGGTGATTTCATATTGAATCAGTTTTCACCGCTCTTGGTCCTGGTGTCGAAAAAATTATCTTTGTGTCGAGAAAAAGAGGTCTGAAATTTTTTTTTAATACTACCTTGCTTAGTGTATTAGTATGAATCTACTTTTTTTCAACATAACATGCAAATAAAAGCGCTGATTTGGCGGCACTTATGCTATAATCACAATCTGTACCCTTGGATTTTTCACACCTTCTGTTCTCTGCTCTAATTGTGGCTAGTGTTTGTCTATCGTCAAGCGTCCGTGGCTGAGTGGGTAGTTTGTGTGATTTTCAATCCCAAGGTTGCTCATTCGAATCCCTGGCGTAGCAAACGTCTTACTACTTTGAGGCTGATTTATACTTTTTTATCTCACTTTTTTCCCACTAGGTTTTGCGAAGCACAGCTACGACGCTGTGTTGATCTACGTCCAGCAATCGGCTCTCTATCTTGCTGTATAAATATGGTTTTTTCTTGTATCATAGCAAGTTAGGGGGCTAGTATTTACTCACTTTTGTGAAAAACTTTCAGATTAGGTTTCTTTTTTTTTTCTAAAGATTATAGGAGATTCAGCAAATCACACGTTATTATCAAAGCGAATCAGGCAGCAAACTGTTTTTTTTTTAGTTTTGTTATGAAATCAAAGGGAACCTATATTTTTGAGTTTATTTTAACGCTGGCGATAATCAAGCGTTATCAAATCGGAATGCAGGTTTTTCCAGGTTAACAACACATAGAGCTAAATCATCTGAATCATTGGTAACAGCACGTGCGCTACATGAAAGTGCTCACATGCCCAACTTCTTGAAGATTCAAGTTAAAATACTGGTTGCTGTTACAGTACTTTACAGTATTGTATTAGTACTCTTGAAATTGCAGTGTTTTCATGGAAAAATTCAATTGTTGTTCTGCTAACTCTGCTTAGGTTTTTTCGGCTGATTTTTCGCAGCATGAACTTTCTGCATAATCTAGTTATGATTGATAAAATGGGTAGTCCTTTTATGTATAATTTCATGTTTTTATCCCATTTCGTTTAAAACGTCTATTCGGCTTTAACAGTTTCGGGCCGTTTCGCTGAAAGCAATTATTCGGCTTTTTTTGTTTTGATGCTACATTGGTATAGGCGCATCATATAGCGTTCATTGGAGGGTTATAATAAAATTTTAGTTGGGTGTGTTCAAGGTGAGGCGATGTAAAAACTTTGAGTCCTAAAGCTTTATGGCAATTTTTCGTGACAGTAATTTCGTTTCCGGTTTAAGTATCTAGATACATTTTGCCTGAATGCTAGTTTAATGCTGAAATTGGTGTTTCACGTTTCAATTGTCAAAAAATTATTTTGGGTGAAAGAGTCGCTGCTCTTTTTGCCAACAAAACTAGTTATCTTTTTGGTAAATTTAGCATTATCTGTCTTTCCGTTGTATCATTTGTAGTAATTTCATTTAGTTTCGTTCACATAGCGCCTGATGTTCGAAAATCTGAACAAAAATTGTCGATTTTTTTTTTCAGTGAGATCAATGATTGAGCGAGGAATTGTCAAATGTCATCCTTGCCACGTGTAGTACCGATAGCTTTTTCCTACAGTGCAATAAGTGACAAGCTACTGGAAAAGGTAGTGGAGAACTAGAACATTGTCGGTAGCAATGAACGGGTTGAACACTAGACGTATCTTCATGGGTCAGTTGCCGAGACACACTCGGGACTTCCACGTGAAGATAGTGTTGGACAGTTACCACTTCTCCTCTCGGGTGGTGAAGATGGGCACTGGCTATGCATTCGTGGACATCGAAGACAGACAGGGGAGGGATGAAGAGACACTTCTGCAGGTGTTGAAAAGTACGCTCCCAAATACTATTCATTTTCAATGTTGACTTTGTTTTTAATTCGAAGTTTTCGATATTTGAACTCAATTTTCTACCCACAATTGATAGCTTAGACTACCTTCATCGTAACTGATTCATTAATTTAGTTATTAATTGGTACTTTTTATTGAGTGTTTTCTTGATGATGTTTTATTTTGTTTGCTTTTTGCAAACCTAAATATATCAACGAATGGCTTCCGAGCTAATTAAAAGGTTTTTTTTTCTGTATCTGTGCTTGACTTTAACTTATGATATTGATTTTAGGTATTCATGTAGATGGTCAGAGTGTGAAGGTCGAGTTCTGTTCATCGGGTCCACGATCATACGGATCGGATAGACGGTCAGTTTGAGTCATGAAATTCCATACGTAGTCTTTGTACGTTAGTTAGTTATATCATCGCAGGAGACAAACTCCCTTGTTTGTCGCATGCTCCCCCATCAAAAATAGTATATGGTGGTGCCAAATGTATGGTGGCACAAGTTTTAGGGTCCGTCAGCTAAAAATTGATGGGTTCTTTTCCAGTTTCTCCCGTACATTTCAAGTTTTCTTACGTATTTTGATGGCAGACTGCGTAATATTACGATGTAAAAAATGAAAAAAAAAATCTGTTCACAATAGTTAGTTTGTTAAACAGGCAAACTTTCCTTACGTTATGAAATTGTTGAGATGGTGATTCAAAATGAATTCAAATGTGAGGGGGGAGTGGAAAAGAGCCAATTGATGTCTTTATACAGGGTGAAAGCGGGAACCTTAGGGTTGTCAGTGGTTCGCATTTCTGAGGGAACGGGGGTCCACTAATCTTAGGTTAACTTAGTTATCATAGCCAATCTTATTTATCATATTATCTCAGGAGACGCATAAAATATGCGAAAAACAAACAGTTTTGAAATGATTTGAAAAAGCAGAATTACAAATCAAAATCATAAAAACCTGTCACACCAATTTCGCAGCAACAGTTTCGGAAACTTTGGATGTGCCACCTACTATTGATTGATCACAAAAGAGATAAATAAATTCACAGCCTTTCGAAAACATCAATTACGTTGTCCTTATAATTTTCTACAGGTTTTTTAAAACAGAAATTTTTTTAAAAAAAGTTAGACAAGTCCAATTGAATATAGTGTGAAATCTTAAATCCAATTGAATATAGTGTAGAACCTTAATTTCAATTGAATATAGTGTAAAATCTTAAATCCAGTTGAATATAGTGTAGAACCTTAATTTCAATTGAATATAGTGTGAAATCTTAAATCCAATTGAATATAGTGTAGAACCTTAATTTCAATTGAATATAGTGTAAAATCTTAAATCCAATTGAATATAGTGTAAAATCTTAAATCCAGTTGAATATAGTGTAAAAGCTCTCGTTTTGGCATCTTGCAACAGGGTTCTAGTTATATGCTCATTTTGTTTTGAGAGCTCGTAAATCATGCCATGCGGCCGGCATGAAGTATAAATATTACTGTTCGATGGTTCTGTATTAGCTCTGAACTTTTGGTCGCATTGGTCGTACGTATCTATGCAATAATTATATTTTGTTAAGCAGTGGCTCTTGAGGTAATTTTGACGTCAAAAAGATTGTCGTTTAATTGGAAAATCTCGTATTGTTATCTCGTAATCTCGAGTACTCTTTCCGCGAATTGTATGCAACCAAATTGGGGCAAATCATTTTTTGACAACGGAGTCATATAAATGGCTTGTAAATATTTATTTTTTAAGATTAATTGCACTAAATAAAGGCGATTTTTTTAAAAGTTTTAATTCTATGCGACACACCCTGTTTAATTATGATCATACAGCGCCGTGGTGATAAGTGAAAAGAGATTATTTGAGTATAGAGCCGAGACATGTTCGTGTTTATTCAGCTATAAATAATCGTTCAAAACTTGAATCAAATTATCTGGTCAAGTTTGATTGATTTTATTTCACGTGTTTCTTCAAGTAGCTTATTTTGCATACCACTGTGTAGTTTTTTGGCCAACAGTAATTGATAAAGCACGGCAATGGTTCCAAACAAAACGAAAATAGTACAAGATTTCTCTCATTTTGTAATTGTGTTTTGCTCTGGTGTCTTTTCATTGCAGATATTCTCAATTTTGCTCAATTAAATTCACTCTTTTTTAATATTTAGTTGAATTACCTCATAACGCAAGCCTTATTAAGAATTACATTAAACGCGAGCCATCAATCTTAAACATAGTTTCACTGACTGCTGATTATACTTTTCTAGCTTGCCAAATTTTGATACTTATTGGTTTTTGTACCACCTCAAACGAACAGCTGATTTTTATAGAATCATAATCGTGTTATATTGAGGGCTGATTTCGTAGTACATTATCTTGCGTCTGTTCAATTGCATTTTGATGAGAAGATAGAGTTAGAGAACTCAACGAAGGTAGCAGCAGTTAATATAGTAGTAACAACAGTCGACGACACTTGTATCAGCGACAATGGGCGATGGAGCTGACTTCCAGACTGGCGTGTTCTCCTGCTTCTCCGACAAGACTCTCTGTCTGATGTCGTTCATGTTTCCCAATTACGTGTTCGGCAGGATAGCCGAGGTGGTGTTGATGGAGGGAGAGAACTACTACACTGGCGTTCTCAAGTACAAAGTGAGTCCCACTCAGTCTCGATTAGACAGCTACCATTTTTTGGTCGCAATATTAGATTTGTGTTTTGAAATCGAAATGTTAAAAGAACCTTTATCGTTGTGGTCAACATCAGCAAAATTGATTTCACGCTTTATGAATAAATAGCTTAACTCAATTTTAAGCCATGACTTATTAAGCTTGAATCATTTCTTTTTGAAAGCACCTGTGTATCATGCGTGTTCTTTATAAAGGACCCGTTCTTTTCAAATCTATCAATTGTTTTCAATGATTTGCTGTTTTTTTTTGCATTTGTATTCCAAGTGAAATATGCGATTTCGTTCTAAATTGGATAGTTTTCTTGAGTTGTTTTTCAGGACAACGAGTGTCCGAGAATAGTAGATTCGCTCATGTGGATGTCCATGTTCAGTGCACCGGCCCTCTGCTTCATCCGACAGAAGCTGAGGAAGCAACTCGGACACGAACAGGAGTCGAAAGAGATCGAAGACTTCATCTTCTCCTGCTGCTGTCCCTGCTGCGTCACTTACCAAATGGCTAAAGAGATGAAATTCGCGCCCCTCGCTCGAGCCTAGGAAAGTGAAAAAGCTCAAGCTAATACTTTTATGTGAATTTCAGTTTTTTATATGAGTTAAACCCTTTTGTATTGTTATTCAGTGATGACATCTTCAGAATGATTGTGAAAATGTTTTCAATTCTTGAAATGAGCAATTGTCCTAAAATTTTTTCTGAACGATCCGCATGGTTGCAGTGTCATCGCCGTAGTAATCAGATCAGCTTGAAAAAGATGCAAACTGTAAATGTGTTTAGATTTTTGTTCATGTTTCTATTATTTGTACATCAATTGCAGAACTTAAAGTTTTCGTTTTCAAGTGCTATCAATGAAATTGATAATTTAGCTTCAAAAATTGAGAATAATAGACTATTAAGGTTAAAATTAGCAAAAAAAAATAAACGTCAAGCCTCTCACTACAATGTGTCGAAAAATAATGTTTTAGCTTCTAAATTTTCTTACTTGTTGGACAAGACTTCTTAGTCTTTTTAATTACACGGATCATTATAGTAGTTTTGTCTTATCCTGCGAAGCCACTGTTTTGTAATTTAAGTTAGCAAGCCTGAATCTGCATATCAATATTTACGTGCAAGACAAGAACTTTTTTTCGAATGAGCGTTGCTTTGTTCTGATTTAGAAGAGATTTTCGGCGGTATTTGAAGATCATGAGTTGTATCCGAGGATGAATTAACTGTATCCATTTAATGAAAGTGGCCTGGTATTCATAAAAAAAGCGTGTATTTAATACATAGTGGAGCAAGGCGGTATGGAGCAATGGATTAGAAAAAAGCAGTAGCTTCCGTTCGAATAATTACATCAATCTTTCTGAACAATCGACATAAGTCTCTAAGCAAGCGAGAGCTGTTTTTTTAAGAATCCATTTTTCCCTTAAGGAGAGCTGTTTTCTTAAAGAATCTATTTTTCCCCAACAATTGGCTAATACAAACGATCATTTGCTGCATAGTATTGACAACTTAATATCTTTTCTATCTGCTGTATTGGTGACTCATTTTTGCAATCGGCCCTAGCGCAGACGCGTAGAGGTCTTACATTTCTAGACGTATCACAGATTCGTAGAAGTCTTACATACGTTTTATGCGATTTGTGTTCCTCCTCATGGAAGCTTTCAGCAATTCTTAAGATTTCTTAAGGAGAAATCAAAAGAATACAGAATCTGGGAATTAATTTCCCGATTTTTAGAAAAAGTAAAGCAATTTTCTGCTCGGGGCGGTTTTTTATTCAAACCACTTTTTCAAAAGCCTGGTCCTCGGGTATCGCTCTCTTGATCAGTTTGGGGCCAGCCGAGTGTGCACACCTGCGACGAAAATGTCTTAAACTGCTTGTTTTGTTATCCCGCACTAATGGAGAGCTGTTTTTTTTAAAGAATCCATTTTTCCCCCAACAATTGGCTAATACAAACGATCATTTGCTTGCACATTGGCTGCATAGTATTGGCAATTTAAAAACATGTGTTCTATCTGCTTTATTGGTGACTCATATTTGCAATCGAACTTAGCGCAGACGCGTAGAGGTCTTACACTCTTAGACGTATCACAGATTCGTAGAAATTGTACATATGTTTTATGCGATGATTTGTGTTCCTCCTCATGGAAACTTTCAGCAATTTTTAAGATTTCATAATGGGAAATCAACAGAATACAGAATATGGGAATTTTTTTTCCGACTTTTGGAAAAAGTAAAGAGTACATTTGCTCGGGCGGTTTTTTATTCTAACCTTTTTTTTTTACAAAAGTCTGGTCCCTCGGGTATCGATCTTTTGATCAGTTTGGGGCCAGCCGAGTGTGCAAACTTGCGATGAAAATGTCTTAAATTGCTTGTTTTAGTTTCCCGCACTACAAATTTGTTACAAATTGAATTGAGGCAGATAATTGGTTTTATTAACTCAATACACAACTCAAATTGCAACACATAATTTTTGATATTATCAGCCTAAATATCTTAGTTTTGCCAATATTTAATTTACCAAATTATCCGTAACCAATTAAAGTGCAGTCGGAACATTTAGGGCTTCGCCCTTATACGAGCAGTCTTGTCATTTCTTGAGTTGGAAAACTAGATCAAGCTCAGCGGAATGAAATAACTTAAAAAATGCGCTATTTTTTGAACAGAAATAAATTGAACAATTTTATCAGTTTTTCTTAACACAGCCAAGGATGTGTTATATTACCAGATAACTTTTTTCGAAATAACTCTCGCGTTGCCTTGTAAAGCTTTTATGGAACATTTTTTGCGTTACTTGAAGAGCATGGCTTGTGTCTGAGGCGCATGGGCGGTAGTCCCTTTAATCAATGCAGCCTGGTGTTTATAAAAAGCGTGTTTATAATGCATAGTAGAGCAAGGCAGTATGGAGTGATGGATAAGAGTGCAGTGTCGTCTGTGCGAATAATTACATCAAGATCTAGGATATTTATGGAAGGTTTCTTAAACTAGTAATTGTTTTGTGATGTATCAGGAAACTTAATTTGAAAGCGACCAGGAAACATCTATTGGCTCAAATAAGGTCATGATTTTCTCAATGGCAGAAATTTTCCTTCGGTGATTCAAATACATTCATTTTTAGTCGTGTAATTACACTTGTAAGAACAAATTTCTTGTAAGTGGGCACTAGTTTATGATATATTGAGAATTTTTCTGACTAACTGAACATATTACAAATTGGATTCCAAATTTTTTGCTTAGGATAATTTGTCAATCTCAATCTAACTAAATAATTTCAGCTCGATTTTATTTTGAGAAAAGAAACAAGACTGCTCGCATCAGGGTGACGCTTTGAGTCTTCCGACTGCCAAAAAATGACTTCTTCCGAAAATTGAAAAATTAAAAATGATAGATATCGAAAATCATCCCGCCACACGCCATTTGAAATACAAAACGATATATCTGTGATCCAAGCATATAATAATTACAACATTTATCATAACTCTCTTGAATTTAGAATAATTTCTGTGCTGGATCAATTACCCGTTAGTTCTTCCGTTAATTGCGCGTTAGTTATCCCAATTTGGAAGTTTTCAAACGCGTCAGAAGTTACCAGAAAAGAAAATTGTCATAATTGACTAGTTATAAAGACAAAATTCGCCAGAAAAAATATCACAGCTTAAATGTTTAAACAAATGTCTATGAAATAAATGCTGTTTTTTAGAAGCTATTTCCTTTTAATTCAAAGTCAAATGATAAATAGTTAGTTTTGCCGCCTCATTTTGATGGCAAGTGGGTTTGAACTCAAAATTGACTTCAAGTCTGATTTCAATTCTTTTTCGAAGTTTTCTGCATTTCGGTTATTTTGTTGCGGGTTGCATTAATTGTCCCCTTAACTCTGGTTGCGAAATGTTTTCATAATTTCCCCCTTTTGGTAAGACCAAAGCGGAACAATAATTACAAGGAATGGCTCGGTTCAAATCAATTTAGAACGATTTAATCTGCCGCTTAAGCTCTTTATAAGAACTCAAGATATCATGCGTTTTTATCCCAAATTGGCAATTTTTCTTAGCCTTCAAAACATAATCGAAAAAATATCCGTGAAAAATTACTAGTTAAAAAGTCGAAATTCGTCTGGAGAAAAAACATTCGCGCACAAATGTTCAGTTTAAGATTTTTTTTACCAGACCATTTTTTCTTATGTAACTTACAAGTTGCCGTACACAAGCAAAACTTTTTGTTCCAATTTTCTTCAGTCAATCAAATTTTGGCTTTTAAACTGAGCGTTTTTGACAATTTTATACCATCTGAAAAATATCGTTGTCCTGAGGTCACTTCAAAATTTTGTACCTGCTATCACGAATGAGGTTTTGAAACTTGCTTATTTGGACAATTTTAACACTCGCAAACTTTAGTGAGCGGAATGTAATAGTACGACTATTCTTTTTTCTACCCAAAGTCATAAATATTGGTACCACTTTTGGGGCTTCTTCACAGTTTTTTGATAGTATGTGCTTTGATTTTTGATTATTAATAAGTATACACAGTTGATGCATTTCTGATTGTTCCAATGAGCCGAAAAAAAAACCATTTGCTTCAAATATCAATACAATAACTCAAAACTCGATTTCAAGAAATTTTCCGGTTCAATATATTTCGCAAAATTTTTGAAATGCTTAAATTATACAAAATGGCTTCATGCTTTCGAATTTATTTCATGCAAAGTTAGCGTGGATGACTTCAGCTATATACCTACTTCAGTTATATTCCAAATTATTCATGACAAATTGTGTCCATTTAAATTTGGTGCTTTTTTTTGCTGCATCGCATTGGCAATTCATTAGAATATATAGCTGCTTTATTCTTGACTAGTGTTTTGTTGGCTGTTAAGCGTTCGTGGACGAGCGGGCAGAGCGTGAGACTGCAAATCACGAGGTCGCAGGTTCCATTCCGATACATAGCAAAGTTTAACAATTCGAGGCTTATTTCTAGTTTTTTCTTATTTTCTTTTTGAAATCTGCTTTTTTTGTCGCGTTCTTGCGCTTCGCCTCTGTGTCAATCTTTAACGAGCTCTATGTTGCTTTCTAATAACACGCGTAAGCAAGGAATTAAATCGTTTCAAATTGAGTGAGATGGGCAAGCAATTTTGTCTTAGTTATACGATACGAGACTCTAAAAACATCTGTTCTGTGTTTTACATAGTGTGTGTGTGTGGGGGGGGGGGGGGTATATATTCTGTTGGCGAAGTATTTGTATATATTCTGTTGGCGAAGTAGTTATTTTGACCTAATTACAATGTAATGGATTATGTTGGTTTAATTTGGGCACATTCAATGTGGCTTGGTATTTGTCAGCAAATCATTTGGTAATTGCATAGAAGAGCAAGGCGGTGTGTGGCATTGCTTAGGCATTGACGTGTAATCTGGAGTTCATACTTAGGGCAGCGTAATAGCATTGTTTTTTGTTTGATGTAGGGTGAATAATAACAAAGTGGTGGTTCACAATTTGCCGGATTCCCTGTCTCTACAAGATGTGAAGGCCTTTCTCAGCGATGTCTCCAATGGGACTATCAACGTCAAACAGTGTGACAGGGCGAACAACAAGACACTCTCCAAAGCATCATACATTGTACATCTTAATACTCCAGAAGAGGCGCAAATGTTAGTAGTGTTTCGGCGAGCTACGTTATCAAGCACATTAGTGATAATTTTCCTTAAAACTCAGGATTTGATGAAATTTTCTGCTAGATTAGTGTTAAATTTGGGTAAAAGAGGCGTAGTCAAGATCAAAAAAGGGTTGCAAGTTTGTTTTTATACGGGCTGAACTGTATTGTAAGAGGTGAGCTTTACGAAAGAATATTAAAGGATATCACTCATTTCAAATTTCCGTTACTTAGGAAGTTTTATTCGAAGCTACAATTGTAGCGCTGCAAATTTCGCATCCAATATAAGTAGTAGTTTACTTTTGAGGGAGATTATTTCGGAAATGAAGTTTGTTGGTGGTGTCTTAGATTAGGATAGCAACGTTGTTGGTGGTTGTAAGAGCAGCGTTATCCTTGTCTTTTGATGGATGCTATGCAGCATTATTAACCCAGATAATAACGGTGTCAGTCAGCAGCCTTAAAAAACTAAAGTTCAATGTTATTTCAATCAACTTAGATAAATTTCTTCGTTGAGCTTTATTTTGGTCGTTTCCTTCCGCACATAGTATTAACCTTATGTGAGTGATGTAGTTTGCTTAGAGTGTTGAACAGTGTGACCGGGGTAGTGTATGGAGATGCTACTCTGAAGGTGGTGCCTTTTGCCGAGAACCACGGAGGCAGGTACAAGTACAGGAGCAACTCTGTTAGTGACATCTCCCACGCTGCGCCCAACTCGCCCGTCTATCCTTTCCGGTGAGCACTGCTCAGTCTTTACTTTCATCATATCGAAGTTTCTACTCAGGGTCAGGAAGCAGCGGTGAAGTGGCCAAGTCTTCGCCTCTCAGAAAAGAGGTCGGTGGTTCGAGGCTCGCCATTATCCTTGTTCCTTGATTGAGGTTGAGGCAACATTACTTAGCCCACAAAAAAAACATAAAAAGACATGTAGATCTTAATTGCGGTTTTCTGTAAATGGGAGAAGTACCGTCAATTCGCCACTGATCTACGCTCTAATACCAGCATGGTCGACATTTTCTATGGAGCTATCTTCTGATTGAATGGCATAGCGATTTGACAAGCAACGAGGAATACGTTAAAGTTTTTGCCCAATCTGATCAGCAACCTACATTGTCAATTGATTGGTAAGTTACTACATTGAGTTTCAGATTCTTGGTGCCGACTCACATGATTGGTGGCATAATTGGAGTGAATGGAGCCACAATCAAGAAATTCCAAATTGAGTCTGGAGCTAGATACATCATGTAAGTGGCTCACTAGTCTCATAAATAAATTGATTCACCCCTTTCTCATCTCACATTTTTTTCTTGTAAAGTTTTTGGCGCACGATGTCCATATGTTATCAAAAATGGCATGTTGACTAATTTTGCCATTACAGCTATATTTGGTCTTCATATTTAAATTTTAAAAACATTCGTTGCGCCATAGAATTTATCAGCAAAGTAAAAAGTGCGAGCCCAAACTAGCTATCAATCAGCTTTGTTGCCATTCTAAGAATTTGAAATATTTTTTTTTTGTATATTTTAGAGTGGACGTTCAGCAGAAAGATGAACGATTTCCTGATGAAAAGGTAAGGTGTTCATTGCCGATGTTAAGTTCTCATCAGCGATTTTCAGAAGACGTCGAATGTCAAAATTCTACGCATTACTGTTACTGTTTCAGTATTTGTCCGGTGAATGTAAGATTATAATAACTTCTTTTCTGTTGGTTTAATATCATTATCATCGCTTCTGCACTTTTGAAACGGACATTTTATTCGACTCAATGTTGCTGTTTAGCCAGTGACAGTTCTGGGAAGTGCGGAATCACAGATATCAGCAATGGATAAAATACTAAAGTTCTTGGACGACTTGATCGTTTCGAGGTGGTGCAGTAAAGAAGAGCTAACAACGAAGTCAAACACATGTGTTAAAAGCAGCAGTGCAAATGTCCTAAATGGTCACGCTGAAAACGGATCCCACTCCTTAGTAAACGGAACTCATGACGAAGAGCGCTCAGAGTGCCTTAGCAATGGAAATGCAGAAACAGGCGCAATTCAAAGTCAAGCAAATAACCTCCAAATTCCAGATGTCATATCGGATTCTCTTGCCGCGACCAGCAACGAAGCTGCATCGCAAGATCACAGATCATCTAACTCGCCTTCCTTAGACTCAGGGATCAAATCAGAATCATCCGAAAACGGTTCCAGCGAGCTGCAAAGCCAAGAAGTGCCAAAAGAAACAAAGAGTTCTGCTTCTACGAAGTCAACAGCTTCGCCAGTTGAGTTCGGAACGATGACTGAATTTCGAGTGCCGTTGACAGTTAAAATTCTAACTCATGACCACTTGATTGGTAGGCTGATAGGTCGCGGAGGTTCAAACCTGGCTGAGATCAAGAAAAGCACGGAGACGAGGATAACCATTCCAAATAGTGCTCCTGGAAGTGGTTGTAATGGAAGTGGATTCCACTGCGAATCCAACGAAGGGTATGTTGTATTGAAAAGCATTATTTTTAATTAATAATTATGTATTTTTAATTTTAAATCGCAAGTGTTGCGAAGCTCTGCTTCGCCTCTGGGTAAAATTTATTTTGTCGAACAAGTGGTTTCCGTTTTTTGTCAATTCGCTAGGTTCCAGTGTTATGCTCATGTTTTTTTCGCAAATCTTCGCCTCTGGGTAACCAACTCCGATTATGCAGAAATCGTTTATTATTTTTCAACTGATTTTTTAAGTTTTTTTTGACGTGAAAGGATTATGTAAAAGCGGCTTCGCGACTCTTATCGCGTAGTTGGATCAGATTTTGGTCAGTGTTTCGCTGTGCTTTGAGAAGACTTGGAAGTTTGAGTTATGAAATTTTTTCAAACCATGTTTTTTTTTACCACTGCCCAAATTGGGTATCAATTCTAATTTAATGCTGATAGTTGTCGGTTTTGATTTTTTTCTCAAAGTTAGCTTCCTTCTATACCATTCAAGACAAATGTAAAAAGTGTTCCTAGGCCTAATTTTTTACACTTCTTACTTTAATTCCATCGACTTCGCGGCTTTCGTCCTATTTTCTAGCGTCCAACAATATGCATGTGTTGTATCGATAGCGGCAAATAACGGTTCTCCTAGGTTCATTTACACAGTAAATGAAACTTAGTAAAATTAAAAGTAAACTTAATAAACTTATTAAATAGTGTCTTTAGAGAGACATGTACTGCGAGGGGTAGCCGTGTGTGACCCCCAATGGTATACATTATTGGAGCCAGCTGTCTTCATAAACAGACACAATCCCTGACGTACAATAACGGGAAAAATTTCAAAGCCCAATGAACCTCTATCGGCGGACTTTCCTTGAACCTCAACGCCAGGAATCCCCTCAAGGTAGTCCAGAATCTGTTCAAAAATCAAGGCGTACTTCGACAACGCAAAGATATTATCATCTGGCACGATATTATCAACAATAGCATCACCGCCCACTCAAGCAACTATTGTCCAATTCGAGACATATACCGACCCCTTAGTCCTCGCAAACTTGCTAGGACTCTCGAAAACCTCAAGAAAAATTACAGTATTAAAGCAGTTGTGTACACCCGAAGGCAAGGGACTCCAGGCGTCTCAATCGCTTTGAGAGATAGTGGAATTCTGATCCTACAAGTACGGAAAAATCTGCTCCTGAGAAAAGAAAAAAGAAATCCCGAGCTTCCATACGAACTTACCCGAATCCACCCCCAGACAGCAATTGACCATCAACTGGTTTCAAGAGTTCTGCGCAACAGTCATAACTTACGTGGACTTGTTTGCAAGAAACGATCAAAGAAGAAGAAGATAAACAAAGCACAGAAAGACAGACAAAAGAAAAGAGAGGGGAAACCAGTTCAAAGAAAAACCAGGAAGAGAAGGAAAGCCAAGAAAACCTGAGAAAGGGTAAATTTTTTTCTTTTTCCTGTGAATCCGGAGGTGAAAAACCTTGGAATCGCGGAATAGAATAGAATTTTGTTTGTGCTCACTCACATCTTGTTTGGGCCAGTGAATCCGGAGGTGAAAAACCTTGGAATCACGGTTCTAAGCAGCAGTTTTCTCTTTTTCTAGACCCAGTGAATCCGGAGGTGAAAAACCTTGGAGTCGCGGTTGTGGAAAATCTATATTCTCGAGACATTTTCAATCAAACCCAGTGAATTCGGAGGTGAACAACCTTAGAATCGCGGGATTGAGTGGAAATGCCTCCTCTTTCCTCTACCGAAAATTGCAAAACTTGCACCAGAACTATTGGTAAACGTGAAGCCACCTTCTTTTGTACAGCATGCGGCGATACAATGCACATGACCACAGCGTGTACAGGCATGTCCCATGTAGCCATAATGGGCATCCAAGAAATTAGTCAGAACGTGCTCCTCTTGTGCAACCAATGTGTACAGATGAACAAACGCGACAGCATAATTGATAGACTCGCAAGCAGTAAAGAACAGGAAAAGCTACAAGAAAAAGAACTCAAAATGAACCAGACTGTTGACGCAATCAAGGAAAAACTCGAACAGTTCGGAGATATAAAAAGTCAACTAGAAAGCGTACAATCTGAAGTGAAAAAACGGCACGACCTTCGCTGAAAAAGTGAAAGAAAAACCCACAAAAGCAACAACTACCCCCAAAAAGGAAAGTTATGATGGAATAAGACTTCGAGGAATACCTGAACCAAATGGGTCGAGCGCCCGGGAACGACTAGAGAAAGACTTAGACGAAGTTGAGAAAATCGTAATAAGCAAAATCTTATTAGGTTTAGATGTGAACAAATCCTGGGACCCGACAACATCGGTAACATCTTTCTGAAAAACCTTAAAAATTCGCTTTCCCAAAAAACTACCCGTCAGATTCTCATAAAAGTGGTACCAATGGATTCAGTAGCGTTTCACCTACCTGCCTGCATGAAATTTAGGGCAATTTTTACCCTACCCCACCCCCTACGGTCTTAGAAAAGCTTCACAACTCGGTACTTTTTTCACTTTTTGCCCATTTTTTCGGAAATTTTCGATTTCCTCAAAAACTACCCGTCCAGATTTAGGATTAAGGGTTTAATCGATAGACCAGGTTGTAGGAAACTCCCATGCACAAGCGGCTGGTCCCTAATTTGCTTAGGGGAAGAGCTATAGACTTAGGAAAAGTCACTTTTTTGATTTTTTTGCCTATTTTTTCGGAAATATCGATTTCCTCAAAAACTACCCATCCAGATTTGGAATTAAGGATTTAATCGATAGAACAGGTTGTAGAAAACTCCCCCGCACAAGGGGCTGGTCCTTAACTTGCCTAGGGGAAGAGCTATAGACTTAGGAAAAGTCACTTTTTTGATTTTTTTGCCTATTTTTTCGGAAATTATCGATTTCCTCAAAAACTACCCGTCCAGATTTGGGATTAAGGATTTAATCGATAGACCAGGTTGTAGGAACCCCCCCTACACAAACGGCTCGTCCCTAATTTGTCTAGGGGAAGAGCTATACACTTAGGAATAGTCAATTTTTCGGTTTTTAGGCCATTTTTTCAAACTTTTTCGATTTCTTCAAAAACTACCCATCCAGATTTGGGATTAAGGGTTTAATCGATAGACCAGGTTGTAGGAACCCCCCCTACACAAACGGCTTGTCCCTAATTTGTCTAGGGGAAGAGCTATACACTTAGGAATAGTCAATTTTTCGGTTTTTAGGCCATTTTTTCAAACTTTTTCGATTTCTTCAAAAACTACCCATCCAGATTTGGAATTAAGGGTTTAATCGATAGACCAGGTTGTAGGAAACTCCCCCGCACAAGCGGCTGGTCCTTAACTTGCCTAGGGGAAGAGCTATAGACTTAGGAAAAGTCACTTTTTTGGCCTTTTTTCAAATCTTTCCGATTTCCTCAAAAACTACCCGTCCAGATTTGGGATTAAGGGTTTAATCGATAGACCAGGTTGTAGGAACCCCCCCTACACAAACGGCTTGTCTCTAATTTGTCTAGGGGAAGAGCTATACACTTAGGAATAGTCAATTTTTCGGTTTTTAGGCCATTTTTTCAAACTTTTTCGATTTCTTCAAAAACTACCCATCCAGATTTGCATAATGAATGCATAAGCTTCTCTTTCACTTTTTTTGCGTAGGAAGGGCGCTATCGACTTGAGAAACCTGAAATTTTAAAACAATTTTAAAACAATCAATATTAAAATAATCAAACAGGTCTCTCCAGCTTTCAGCTGGGCCCCTAGTTAGTGAAGTCACACCTATTTTCAGGGAAAATGACAAAGCTGACGTTACTCAATTCAGGCCGATAAGCCTCCTAGCCAACGTTTCAAAAGGTTTTGAGAAACTTATCTTCAATCAAATGTATCTCCACTTCGAGCCTAGTTTCCATCGCGCTCAATACGGCTTTATACACAAGAAATCGGCAGTACTGCAACTCCTAATCTTCGTTGATAACACTCATAAAAAGCTTGACCAAAAGAAATCCAGTGACATCAGCTCTCTCTACGTTGACTTCAGCAAAGCCTTCGACAAAGCAAAGTGTCTCACCTGAAACTTGTTGAAAAAATATCTAACCTTGGCATCGGAGGGAAATTCATGGAATTAATCGTAAGCTACCTAACAGAAAGGAAACAGAGAGTTAAAATTGGATGTTATAAGTCATCCATTTCTCAATGCACTAGCGGTGTTCCCGAAGGTTCTCTCCTTGGACCATTAATGTTCCTGGTATATGTGAACGAACTTCCTGATGGAATATAAGACGGTGAAGCCTTCGGTTATGCGGACGATTTTAAAGTAATGACCACATCTTTAAGCAACGCAGAAAAGGCGGCTCTACAAATAGAAAAATGGAGCTTCGTAAATAAAATGATTCTCAATGTTGACTAAACCAACATACTGTACATAAAAGGAGAGACACAAACAAACGGACGATTAAAAACCGTCACATCACAGAAAGATTCGGAGTCATCATGTCTAACAATTTATCCTGGAGTGAAAACTGTAGTAGGCGAACACTTAAAGGCTGGAGGTTTTTATACTTCCTCATCAGAAATACTTCGAAAAATGCATCGCTAGAGACAAAACTGAATGCCTACGCAGGATATGTATTACCAGTGCTTACTTACGCATCGCAGGTATGGTACCCCCCAAAAACTGAAATGAGGAAGATAGAGCAAGTACAGAGGAAAGCCACCAAATGGATAACCAACAGGACCGCAGATTATAAAGAAAGACTTCTCCGCTTGAAAATATCACCTCTATCAATGTACATGGAAGTGCATGATATTCTATACCTCATCTCTGCGCTAGAAAGAAACTATGAGGCCAAAAACATGCCAGTGACAAAGAGCCATGGAGGACTTACAAGACAGCAGACCGAACTCTATATCCCCCAACAGCGCCTCAAGAAATGCGACGAAAACTTCTGGATCCGTGCACCAAAACTGTTAAATTTAGTGCAAAGAAGCCTGTTTGCAGATAAAATCCTCAACAAAAACAGAATCGCCAAATTATACCACGCATTCTTCCGTGACAGATTCAACGAGATTGACTCTTGCTCGTGGAGAGTGCTATGCCCATGTGGAAACTGTAATCCCTTGAAAAAACTCGTGCCACTTGAAAACTGAGGGATGAGAACCCTAGAGCAGATGCTCAAAATCCTATACTACTACTACTACTACAGTTCATTGTAAAACAGTTGTATGGCTGGCAATGCTACATTTTTTTGGTTCCGAAGATTTAATGTTCATTTGCGTTTTGAATGTTCGTTGACTGAATTATCCTTGTTTCGACCTTAGAAGAAAGTGACGGGGTAGGTTTACATGTTCATGTTCAGATCTGAGCTCAAATGAAGAGAGAAATTCACCTGCTGTGAAAGTTCCTTGAGATTTTTTTCCACCCTTGAATATGGGGAGGAATTTTGTATTCGGTTGTTTTTAGCTTTTGTTTTATTTTTGTTTTCCTCTCAAAATGAGGTACCACTTTTAATCGCCGGAATGTGTCGAACAATATATCATGTTAATAGCCTTTCAATCGTGATTTGAAGACTTAAAAAAATTAAAACAATTTTCGGTCGAAAAACTAGTTTGAAATTTTTGATATTTGGTCTAATATTGAGCGAATATTTTTCGATTCATGTTTTTTCAAACTAATTTTTCTGCAAACTTTGTTTTCTAATTTGACCATTGTCCTATGAATGTCGAATATGCTCA